TTTCCCATCATAATCTAAAGAAATGGTCACCCTGCCCAGGGGGTTTCCAGACACCCCACGTACTGCAGATAACACTGCAGAGTCTGATATCTAGGCGAGAGATTACAAAAGCCATCATGTACTATTGAAAATGATTCCCAAAGATTCCCACACCCAGAGTGACCGTTCAACCTTGACCCTGGGGGTGACCGAAGAGGGGCCCTTAATTCTACTGGCCACGCTTTGTTTTAACCTGAGAACCATCTGACATCAGAGGTCCTCAGAGTGGTCACTCCCAGATCATGGCACAGCTTGTCCATTTGTGGCTGCGCAGAACCCTGACTTTAAGGATTGGGCCCTACGTTCTGTTTGTCTACTAGGGATTGCCAATGTGGCACTGTGCACGTAGAAGCGAAAGGCAGTCTTGCTCAGAATTTACTTCAAAATCTCTGATTTGGCTTAGAAGGAGTTGGGTACACTGGCGAAAGGGCTCCCTTTCAGCAAGTCATTTTAAAGGAGCTTCAGAAACACGTGAACTGATATACTACACTAAACAAAACATCCAGGCTGAAGTCTCAAACACAATTTGCGATCCCTCAAGAAACAGCATCCTACGATCAGATGACTCCACTCACTCCGAATATAAAGGATACATTTGAGGAGGTGTTGGATAGTAATGTCCCTTTAAGCATAATTTTCATAGAGCAGATATATTATATGCATTGTGAGTATATACGTCAAAGCACTGTCACTTTCATTGGTTAGTTTTGACACTGCATTTTTTAAAATTGCATTTATCACATAAATGTCTTTTGGTTTGCCTAGTGGATCTCCTCTCTTCATCCATATAGGTTGTCTAACTGTAAGTAAATAGCAGGAAGTAAAATAAGTAAGATGTACACTTACACTTTTATGGAACTTCAATCCAGCTCCAATTTGAGTGCCTGGGCGGAATGATCCTCGTCTAAGGATATGGTGTAATAGTGATACAGTAGGCCTTCCTTATGATGAGGGGTATTCTCACTGGACATATAAGATAAAACAGATAGGAAAATATTGTGTAGTATGTCACACTCAATATTTAAAATTATTTATGTATACGATTTTACACTCACATATTAAGGAGCCTCCTATATTGGCTCCTATAGTACAGCTTGAAGTGGTACAATCCCCACTTTTGGTGGTGCAATTTTAGTTTTGTAGATGCTCTTTCTGAAGTGACAAAGAAAATGTATGAATTTTGCCTTCAATGCAAAATTACACTCAAAGTGGAGTATCTCCTAGGGTTCGACGAACCTCACAGCTGACTTTCTCTATTTATTGGTTGGATGCAAACAAATGGCAGCTAGACCAGTCAATCTTCAACCAAATCATCGTTCTCAGGAGTCCGTGTATGATGGATCTGTTCACCTCCCGCACCAATTGGCAGATTGTGAAGTTCCTCAATTTCTTCCAGATCCAAATGGTGCAGCATTTCTGCAGGAAGGGCCAAGTCAAACCGCTTATGCTTTCCCACCGCTTGCCGTGATCTCAAGAGTGCTCCTTCAGATCCGTCTGCAGGAAGTCTCCTTTGTGTTGATCACTCCATTCTGGCATTCTTTGCATCCTCTCATACTGTTAGAACATCTTCAATTAATGGTTTGGACTTTTTCCAGGGAACATGGAATGTTAGCTATAACAAATGGCTAAGGACCTCCTATGGGATTCCTGGGCAACTGGTAGTAAGAGATGTTACTTTTCTGCATGGAACTACTGGTGTAGTTTGGTGTTTGGAACAGGATTCCCATCCCTTTACTGCCCTTGTTCACACTATCTTTAATTTTCTGCCACATCTGCTTACTTTAGGGAGATCTTACCGCTCGTTTAATGTAGTTCGGTACAATATCTTTGCAGCTCATGTCCTGATTCAGGGATCTCAGATTGATCAGGACCCTTTAGTATGTTACCTTCAATGCAGTATCAAGCCAGCACGACCATCAACTCCCAAATAAACCCACTTATCGGATGTGAGTCTTGTTCTTAATTTTCTATGTGAGTGGCTGGACAACGCATTCCTTTGTCTTTGACAACTCTTGGCTAAGTTCACCCTTTGTCTCATTTCTTTTTTTACATAGATGCTTTTTTCATTGTCTCCTAAAGGGGTATCTTTTACTCTCTCTAGACACTCTAAATTGGATTTCTCTTCATTTTTCTATCCTTAATTTTCCCTATGTCACAAAGCTTTGCTTTGTTTTTGCGCTCACATGTTAGGAAGAGTTTACTTCCCTGTTAGGGATATCTCAGTATGCATAATTGCTTAACTCGTATGTTTGTTCTTATAAACTGGTTTCCACTACTACCTCAGCTCGGTGGATATGCTGATTATTGTCCTTGGCAGGTATTGACCTTTTTTGGGGGGGGCACACTCAGTTCGAGGTGCGGTGGCCTCTCAAACTTTTTCTATGGGACCTTCTCTTGGTGAAATTCTACGATCATCTCACTGGTCCAGGGAAGACATTTTCGGCTGTTTTTGTTTTCATCCTCCTCTTCATGCTTCTTTTTTATTTCTTTCGAAGCATTAGAACACCAAAATATGAAGCCTCCTGTCAAGTAGTAAAACTGTAGGTTATGCTAGCTTTAGTGTACCTATAATCTTAATGTTAGTAAATACGGGTGTTGACTGTTCTTCTGAGGTATGTACGGCCAGTTTGCTATATGTTGATTGCTGTTGCAGCACTTGTATTTGATTTATAGTCAACTTGTTTGTTCACGATGTGAATTTGTATTGTATGCTATGCTGGATATATTTTCTCCATGAGTGATCCATTGGCTAACCTTTATTTCATGTTGTTCTCTTGTTTCAGTTTGATCTTTGGATACCCGTTACTTTTTGAAGAGTTTATGTTCTATTCAAGTTGTTGCGGAATTCCTCAATAATTTATTTTCCACGTTCTGACTTGGTTGTGTTGTTACATTGTCTTAGTCTCTGTACTGTTTGTTTGTTTTTTGTGATCAGTAGCTGGAAAGAGGGAGTGCTAGCGGTACACGGGGTTTATATTGGCTTTTTTCTGTTATGTGGTTGGTTGTGTTTCTGAATAATTTGTGCTGATGTGGAGTTCTAGTAAAGAGAGAGACTTAAGCAAAATATTTGTCTTCTGTTATTACTAAAATTAAGATTATAGATACACTAAAGCAATTTTACACTATCACCGGTAATAGACGTACTTGGAAACCAGAGATTTCCTGAATGTACCTTTCCTGCATAAATACTTTGTTATTATTCTTAATATTAGTTGTGCTATTTTTTATGATTCCATATGGATTGCTCATGAGAGTGTGAGGACATGATAACCAACACACATATCTCCACAGCATCACAAAAATAAAAATCTCGTGTGTAGTAGGTGCACCCGGCATCATAGGAAGATGGTGGTACTCTACATGTGGTTCTAAGTGTCATTCTATTTAGCTCCACTGCACATCTCAATAAACATTGTAATTGTGTTTACTGGATTGAGAAGAACAGAAAGCATTCAGAACATGATTACACGCTATTACTTAGAGAGCTGTGGTGGGGAGATTTGCTGAATTAGCCCAGAATAGCCTGAATGGTAATTTTCTCTATCGTAACTATTTCCCCATTGTGGTTATTACTTGTAGAACACAGATCACCATATAGTCTCTTTTAAATCCCCCCTGCTTCAAGTCTGCACGATGTGCTGGCTCCTGACGCACTTTTTCCAGAGCCATTCTGTATCTACCAACTGCCCTGCCCCCAGTGATGGAGTGCAGGACTAATTGTACCCCCGTAAGACACAGTATGCCGCCTGTCCGTCACTTTAATAAAGTTCTGTTATCCAGGAAGAAATAACAGAATTTTGCCGAATTCAAGTCAATGTCAAACATCTGACAGCATAAAATGTATAATGGATAACCTCGGTTTTGACTGTCTGCGCGGGATACTGTGACTCTTGACAGCTAATTATTTCGTTGTGTACAACATATAAAATGCTTTTCACTCTATGGTCGCTTATTATAGAAAGTCTCCATCTACAAGGCAAATAAATACTTTTCCGTAAGGATACATGCCTTAATTAACCTGATCACATTGACACAGAAATCTGTAAAACACAGGTAAATATTCAAGGTTTGCCAAATGGCTAGCTTTATTTTAAAGTATTATTTATTTGTTAATTCCTAAGGCTGGGTGTGAATACATTGGTGGTTTACTAAGGGGTCTGCGGTTTCACTGACTGGGATTTAATTTCCTCTATGACGAAAACCAACTTGCATCTGACACGCATGTAACCCAGCCTGTGTCGCTATGTGTGCTAAATCGCCCAATAAAGACACGGTGTAAGAAATGTAAATAAATACAGCTCACAGGCAGAAAATGTATAGAATCCTTTTAGAAAACCTTTTAACACGATGGGGTATATTTGTCAAACAGTTCTTAAAACATTCCAACATTATTTTGATTATATTTATTAACGTGTTCTAAATGTGATCTAAAAAGTGAAATTTTTTTGCAGATATATTCATTTGAGAAGATCACCAAATTTATTAGACCTTGATTTAATAAGCTTTCTAAACGATTCAATACTGCTAAAAAAAATCTTGCCGTATGATTTACCTACACCCATCACCATTACAGTCTGTGCTATTTTTGGGGGATAATTTATTAATGCATTCATATTACTAAAAACTTCGAGCCGTCTTTAGTCCCCATACATTGTCAGAGACACAGTTTATCTGACCTAAACCCATGTAGGAAAACAAGAACCCATGTACATTCTGATTCTTAAAAATATCCTCTGTTACAGTATCAGACATTCAAGTTATGGCCTTGATTTCTTTAAAGGTACTCTTCAAATGATGTAATATTTGTGGATAAACTTTGAAAAATATTTTTTTTAAATATTAAAATATAAAAAGAATATAAATAATATATAAGACGATATACATATTTCATACAATGTGAAAATATTTCAACCATTTTCAAAAATATTAAATCATTTTAAAAAAGTTTACCCACAATATTCAATAGTTTGAAACGTTTAACCCAAAAAATATTAACAATCTATAATGAATGCGGCAGTGAGCATCATCTTCCTGTCCGCCCGCACCTCCCATGCCTCCCACTTTTGTCAGTCCTCACACTGGCTTCCAGTAAGATATAGGGCTCAATTTTGAATTCTGGCGCTTGCTTACATAACACTGATCCGACCTATCTATCCTCGCTGATACACAAGTCCATGTTCTGCTGAAGATCTGCTTCTATTACCTGTTCCTGCTCGCACCTCTATAGCCTGCCTTCAGGACTTCTCTAGGGCTGCACTGTTCCTGTGGAACTTCCTTCCCTGCTCCGTTAGACTCTTACCCAGTTTCTAATCCTTTAAAAGATCATTAAAAACCTCACTTCTTTAAGAAAGCATATCAAGTAAACTGTTAATAGCTTTCCCTCTCTGCACCTTGGTTATCCACCTTGCATCCTCTCCTGAAACGGTCATCCAAAAAAGTAACCCTTAACCGTTCTAGCAACCAACATTTTCCCATACATGGAATACATCCTTTGCCTTACCTCTTGTGCCAAGTTCCCCCAATACTTCTAGAACTAGACTGAGTTATAATAATACAATAAGTTGAAATAACACAATTATATGTAATAATACAATGAACTGGAATAGTGCAAAGAGCTGCAATAATACAGTAAGCTATAATGGTACAATAAGCTGTAATTATACAATTAGCTGTATTAATACAGTAAGTTGTGATAACACCATTAAGATATGATGATACAATAATCAGTAATGATATAATAAGCTGTAATATTATAGTAAACCCTAAAAGTGTACTAACAATTTTCATTTTGAACATCCTATGTGATAAAGTCCTTAGCTCCTTTATTTTCTGAGATTTGTCAGGGTACTTATAATTGAATGCGAAGGTTGCAGTCCTTAGATATTGATTTATGAGTTAACAGCATGACGCCTGCAGGAGGTGGGAGGATTCCTCTGGTTTACATTCCAAAAAGGAACTGAAATAAATGAAGGACAGATGGGAGAGTTGGTTTTTCTGAAAATATTGTTTTACTATCACTAAATATATAAACAAGATAAAATTGGCAAAAAGGTATTTCTTAAATAGTATTACCAATAGATTGTCTTACTGTGTACATGCATTTATCTATTGAAATTCCAAAATGTTGCAAAAACATTAGCCAAACATTGAATCTGTCTATGTATCTATTTCATTTCTATAGTGTATAATATACAGTATCAATTATCAGAACGTGCTCGTTGTCTTGCAATCATTGTAAAAGTCCAAATATTTTGTGTAGATACAAATACACAGCTCCCAACATTATTATCATATGGATATAGGGGGGCACTTTAATTTTAGGGGTGTGGGTGAGGGTGTGGCCGGGGATGGGGCTGTTCTGAGACATTTTAGGTGACTTTCTTATAACAATTTATAGAACTAAAATGTAATTGATAACAAGAACAATGCATCTTATTTACACAGACTGATTTCTAAAACACATTTATTGTAGTTTAAAGACACATTACTGGGAGTATTATTGGTGTGGAGCTCTGTTATACAAACACATATTACTGGGAGTATTATTGCTGTGGAGCTCTGTTATACACACAGACATATTACTGGGAGTATTATTGCTGTGGAGCTCTGTTATACACTCAGGCACATTACTGGGCGTATTATTGCCACCATGGCCAAAACCAAAGAGCTGTCTAAGGATATCAGGGACAAGATTGTAGACCTACACAGGGCTGGAATGGGCTACAAGATCATCGCCAAGCAGCTTGGTGAGAAGGTGACAACAGTTGGTGTGATTATTCGCAAATGGAAGAAACACAAAATAATTGTTTCCCTCGGTCTGGTGCTCCATGCAAGATCTCACCTTGTGGAGTTTCAATGATCATGAGAAGGGGAGGAATCACTCTAGAACTACACGGGAGGATCTTGTTAATGATCTCAAGGCAGCTGGGACCATAGTCACCAAGAAAACAATTGGTAACACACCATGCCGTGATGGACTGAAATCCTGCAGTGATCACAAGGTCCCCATGCTCAAGAAAGCTCATGTACAGGCCCGTCTGAAGTTTGCCAATGAACATCTAAATGATTCAGAGGAGAACTGGGTGAAAGTGTTGTGGTCAGATGAGACCAAAATCAAGCTCTTTTGCATCAACTAAACTTGCCGTGTTTGGAGGAGGAGGAATGCTGCCTATGACCCCAAGGTCACCATCCATATTGTACACAGTACTGGAGACCATATATTCAGAAGGATATTGATACCTTAGAGAGGGTTCAGAGAAAGGCTACTAAACTGGTTCATGGATTGTGGGATAAAACTTACCAGGAAAGGTTAAAGGATCTTAACATGTATAGCTTGGAGGAAAGATGAGACGGGGGGGATATGATAGAAACATTTAAATACATAAAGGGAATCAACACAGTAAAGGAGGAGACTATATTTAAAAGAAGAAAAACTACCACAACAAGAGGACATAGTCTTAAATTAGAGGGACAAAGGTTTAAAAATAATATCAGGAAGTATTACTTTACTGAGAGGGTAGTGGATGCATGGAATAGCCTTCCAGCTGAAGTGGTAGAGGTTAACACAGTAAAGGAGTTTAAGCATGCGTGGGATAGGCATAAGGCTATCCTAACTATAAGATAAGGCCAGGGACTAATGAAAGTATTTAGAAAATTGGGCAGACTAGATGGGCCGAATGGTTCTTATCTGCCGTCACATTCTATGTTTCTATGTTTCTATCCCCACCGTCAAACATGGAGGTGGAAACATTATGCTTTGGGGGTGTTTTTCTGCTAAGGGGACAGGACAACTACCCGCATCAAAGGGATGATGTACGGGGCCAAGTACTGTCAAATCTTGGGTGAGAACCTCTTTCCCTCAGCCAGGGTATTGACAATGGGTCGTGGATGGGTATTCCAGCATGACAATGACCCAAAACACACAGCCAAGGCAACAAAGAAGTGGCTCAAGAAGAAGCACATTAAGATCCTGGAGTAGCCTAGCCAGTCTCCAGACCTATCACATAGAAAATCTGTGGAGGGAGCTGAAGGTTCTAGTTGCCAAGCGTCACCTTCGAAACCTTGAAGGACCACTATAGTGCCAGGAAAACAAACTCATTTTCCTGGCACTATATAGTCCTTAGGTCCTCCCCACCCTCAGGGCCCCCCTCCCGCTGGGCTGAAGGGGTTAAAACCCCTTCAGCAACTTACCATAATCCAGCGCTCGGCTCCCTTGGCACTGGTGACCTCTCCTTCCCCTCCAACGTTAGCTCCTGAGTGAAGCCGAATGCGCATGCATGGCCAGAGCTTTCCTATGGACATTCTTATGGACTTGCGCCGTTACAGTCCATAATGAATGCGGCAGCGAGGCTCATCTTCCTGTCCGCCCGCACCTCCCATGCCTCACCCTTCTGTCAGTCTCTACATTGGCTTCCTATAAAATGTAGAGCTCAATTTAAAATTCTGGTTCTTGCTTTTTGAAATCGCTACATAATGCTGCTCCCACCTATCTATCCTCCCTTATACACCAGTATGTCCCATTTAGGCCCTTACGATCTGCTGAAAACTTTTGAAAGAAGGAATGTGGTCCTTAACCACACACATCTTATGAAGCGAGCCGATATATAGGCTCAGGGTTTGTGAGTATATTGGTACTATTTATTCTATATACCTTATATACACCAGACGGTACTACGCTATCTCTTTTCCCTCCTGTACTTATCACCTAGGACACAGTACCTGGAGAGAATCTTGGACGAAAAGGAGGGGAAGGGTCGCCTTTACGGACCCTAAGGCGCAGATACTTGAGCTAGTATATCAGCTCAATAAAGTGTGAGTTAGATACCTATGTACTTTATTTCTATTTACATTTGGTATACAGATTACACTATGTTCTGTACATTTATGTTTTTGATTTAAGGTTTACCTGGATATATTGGGACTAGCTATAAATACAAACAACCCATCAAGGTATAGCTAAGTCTTTTTTACTCATTCCGGGAGATCCACTATTATAGAGCGCTACACCGATATTTTCCACTTTTTTCACTTTTGCTGAAAACTTACGTCTATCTTCTGTCCGTACTCCCACCTCTGATGCTCACCTTCAAGATTTCTCGAGGGCTGCACCGTTCCTGTGGAACTCGCTTCCCTCCTCGGTTAGATGCTCACCCAGTCTCCACTCCTTCAAAAAAAAAAAAAAATTGTTAAAAACCCCACTTCTTCATAAAAGCATATCAATTGAACTGTTAATAGCTCCTGACTGATTCCTCTTCTGCAACTGTCACTAGTCTAATACTATCCTTACCTTTTTGCGTCATTTTACCCCACTCCCTCTACCATGTAAGCACATTGAGCAGGGCCCTCAACCCCTCTGTCCCTGTGTGTCCAACTTGTCTGGTTACAACTACATGTCTGTTCGTCCACCCATTGTAAAGCGCTGCGGAATTTGATGGCACTATATAAATAACATAATAATAATAATAATAATAATAATAATAATTCTGCCTGCTCAATGCGATTTTTGTGGAAGTGCTTCTAGCAGCTGTCAGGAAGACAGCCACTAGAGGCTGGATTAACCCTGCAATGTAAACATAGCAGTTTCTCTGAAACTGCTATGTTTACAGCTGCAGGGTTAAAACCTGCGTGACCTGGCACCCAGACCACTTCATTGAGCTGAAGTAGTCTGGGTGACTCTAGTGGTCCTTTAATGACTTGGAGAGGATCTGCAAAGAGGAGTGGGACAAAATCCCTCCTGAGATCTGTGCAAACCTGGTGGCCAACTACAAGAAACGTCTTTATCTCTGTGATTGCCAACAAGGGTTTTGTCACCAAGTACTAAGTTGAAGGGGTCAAATACTTATTTCACTCATTGACATGCAAATCAATTTATAACTTTTTTGATGTGTTTTTCTGGATTGTTTTTTGGTTATTCTGTATCTCACTGTTAAAATACACCTACCATTAAAATTATAGACTGATCATTTCTTTGTCTGTGGGCAAACGTTCAAAATCAGCAGGGGACCAAATACTCTCTCCCCCCCTCCCCCTCCCCCACTGCATATTGTTTTAATAAAACAAAGTTGAAAAGGTAGAAAAATATTGAAATGTTAAAGGAATAATCTGGGGTGAATATAGTTGTTATGGTCCTAGGAGGTCTCTGGTGCTTCCTTATCCATAGAGGTTTAAACATTCATAAACGATTTAACCCCAAAATTAGCTCTTCAGAGCCATTCATCACTGCCCCTTTCTGTTTAAGAAATTCATGTAGAGGAAGCACGCATGGCCACCGGTAGGGGCGCTGCTGATATTAACAACTGCTTGCAAAAGCTGCCGACTTGCTGTCTGCAGCCTTTGCAGGCCCTCCCCTAACACACACTGCTGTCCTCACGTACACACTGCAACTTTCACACACACACACACACACACACACACACACACACACTGCTCACACAGTCCTTCTTACACAAACACAAACACACACTGCACCTATGCCCTACTACAGCCCCATTTCCAAGCAGACCTCAGGTAAGTTGTCAAACTGTTCTTAAACGGTTTGACTACTTACTCTGGGAGGGGGTCCCGGCACTACTGGCACCATAACCACTACACTGAGCTGTAGTGGGTATTGTGTCTGGATTATTTCTCTATATAATCTGCAAGTGCCCCTCCCGAGGTCAGGCTCTGGATCCGCCACTGGTACAGTGAAGGCAGGTGTGAGCTATCCTGGTGAGCCTGACACTTCCGTTAGCTCTGTGAAGTTAATGGAAGTGGTAAAAAAATCTTCCAGGTTGCCTGATTGACAGCTCAGGGGTTGCTGAAGCAAAGTTTTATAAATGTGTGGATTTCAGTTGAGGCAGCTGTTTCGGGTCAGCCAGCGTAACCCAGAAATATGTTCTAAAAGTCATTAAAATATGTGACTGTAAATATCCCGCCTGCTTTGAAATTGGTGATTTACATTAGCATAGTAATAATCTCAGAATAATAAAATTTTACTGTTTAGACGTGGAAAGACCATGCTATCTCTGCCGTTCCTGTTAAACCAAAAGACTGATTGCCCTAGTTTTCTCTTTATATAGCAGACAATGGAAAGCCGCTGAAAAATGTCAACTGTTTTCTCTTGAAAAAGAAAAGAGACTTAATTTCAACGATAGCGCGGATATTCCCCAGATTTTCTTTTGAGAAACACAGCATGTGGAAAGCGTTTTATTCTGAAAAATGAGAATTTGATAAAGAAAATAGTCTTTGCCTGGGTTTAAATTGATATAATGCAGGAACGAGAGATGCATGAGGAAAAAGGGAAGGGCCGCCATCAGACATTTTGTGGCCCCTAACACTGCTCAAGGTCTAGGCCCACGGGGGCCCGCCTCCAAATCCTGCCTCCAAACCCCACCCACAGGAATACACACACACAGATACAAAAAGGACACAGATACACACATACTGACACACGCACATACATACTAACAGACACACAATCATATACAGACACACAGATATACATAGTGACACACAAACACATACATGTAGACACACACACATACATGTAGACAGGGCCGTCTTTAATAATGATTGGGCCCTGGGCAAGCATTTGATAGGGCCCCCTGACCCTAACTCCCTGGCATGCAATCACGATCTCCACTTCCCAACGCAGTAACGGAACCATTTTCCCATGCTTGCAGAGGTGTATTTAGCAGAGTTGTGTTTGTGTGTTTGAATGGAAGCATGTTTTTGTATGGAGTGTGTTTGTGTAAATGTAGGGGTGTGTTTGTAGGTGGTGTTGGTGTTTGAATGCAAGCATGCATCTATGTGTATTTTTTTTTTTTTTATGCTGGGTGTGTTTATATATATTTTTGGTGTTTAACACAAAGATGTATTTGTATGTATTGTTGACGTTTCAATGCAGGACTGTGTTTGTATGTAGTGTTGAAGGTTGAATGCAGGGGTGTACTTGTGTGTAGTGTTGGCGATTTGAATGATGAGATGTACGTACATGTACACATACACTGCCACACATACACATTGTGATACACAAATACACACTGAAACACATGCAGATACACAGATATAAAAACTGACAGTCACACTAACACACAAGCAGATACAGACTGACACAGATACAAACACTAACACATACAGACACACAGATACACAACCTGACACACATACAGAGACAAATATACAAACACTGACACATATGAATACTCAGACACACTGATACATATACTGACACACATGCAGATACACAGATAAAAACACTGACTACACACAGATATACACACGCAGGTACACACACTGACAACATACAGATACACAAATACATACAATGATAACTTACAGATACACACACTGACACACATACAGACACGCAGATACAAAACCTGAGACACATGCAAAGACACACAGATCACATAGAGAAACAGATATACATACTGACAGACATAATGACACACTGACATACATACTGATACACACACAGACGCACACACACACACACACACACACACACACCCTGACAGACATACTCACACACATACTTAGATACACACAGACATACTAAGACACACACAAATACTGACACACATGCGACGTTTACATTTTTACACATTGACAGGCATACTGACACAGTGACAGACAAACTGACATGCACACTCACAGACAAACTGACATGCACAGACAGACATACTGACACGCACAGACAAACTGACACGCACAGACATAAGCCCTGACAGACATACTAAGACACACATACACACACAGATTTACTGACACACACAGACATACTAAGACACACACAGACACCCTGACACACAAACTGTAGCGTTACTTACCTTAACCGGGGGCCGGTCGCGGTCCTCTCTTCAAGCCGCGCGCGGTCCTGCGGCTGCACGAGCCGCGCGCGGCTCATCCAACTACTTCGGATGGAGGGCGGGCAGTGACCGCGTGAGGCGGTCACGTGTCCCGCCTGAATCTAAGAGCGCGCCGCGAGTCTCGGGCGCGCTCTTAAAGGGACAGTGGGTGCCTAAATTGGAAAAGGCATCCCATTGGTCCCTGTCATGCCACACTCCCCATACACTTACCTTTTGGGGGCGTGGATATGACAGGGACCAATCAAATTAGATGTTTAGGTATTTATACTCACCTTCTTCCCTTTGTTCCTTGCCCTATCGTGGTTTCTGTTTCAGTTCCCTTTAGCGCTTGTGGTGTTCAGTTGTGTTTTCTCGTATTGACTTTGGCTTCGTATTCTGACTTCGTTTTCGCTTTATCCTTATCTGTACTGTTTGCCGGCTTGCTGTTTTCCGTGTACCAGACCCCGGCTTGTCCTAGTTTACGCTGTCTCTCTGTGCCCTTGACCTCGGTTTGTTCCTGGCTCTGTCTTCTCTCATATACGTCAAGTCCGGCCATTCTAAGGTCCGGTAGACGTATCTCTCCTCTGTATTTGCCTCTGTTTAGCTGGATCCTGCGTGTAGGGGTATATTCTCGTTACATTACGATAGGGCCATGGACCCCGCAGATTTAGCTCAACAGATGGCGTCCCATGAGGCAAGATTTGTAGAGCAGGATCACCGTATGGATCAAATAGCTCAGGCTCTCCAGACGCTCCTAGCTAGAACCGTTCCAGCAACTACACCTAACCCTCCTACGCCCCTTCTCCCTGAAGTATCTACTTTGCCTAATACTTCGGCCCATTTAACACCTCCTCCTAGGTATGGAGGGGACTCTAAGACTTGCAGAGGGTTTATTAATCAGATTGAATTTCACTTTGAAATGTATCCACGTTCATTTCCCACAGAGAGGTCTAAGGTTGGGTTCTTTATGCACCAACTTACCGATAAGGCACTTGAGTGGGCAAATCCTATTTGGGAAGCTAATGGGCCTATGGTACATGATTTCAACAGTTTTCTTACGGCTTTTCGTAGAACTTTTGACACAATGAAAAGGTCAAAGAATGCCGCAAGAGCATTAATGAGAATTAAACAGGGTTCTAGGTCTGTGGCTGATTATGCTATTCAGTTTCGCACTCTTGCTTCGCAGGTAGATTGGACCAACAATGGGTTAACTACTGCCTTTATGGAAGGTTTGTCAGATACGATATTGGATGAGGTAGCAGCTAAGGAGCTTCCTATTGCCTTAGAGGACCTTATCGATTACCTCATTGATATTGATAATAGAATTCGTGACAGGCTCTATACCAAGAACAGGAATAGACGTTTTGTTACACCCATTAACCCCAGAGTTAATATACCAGAGAGTGTTAAAGTGTCTGAGGAGGAACCTATGCAATTAGGGGTTGCCAAACTCTCTGATACTGAGAAATTACATAGGAGAAGGGAGGGACTCTGCCTATACTGTGGTAGGAGAGACCATATGGTAAAGGAATGTCCTTTACTCCCGGAAAACTCTCGCACCTAAGACCTTATAGGGGACTGGCCTTGGGTGTGATATCTAAGTCTCCTAAATTGCCTCCTAACCGCTTGCTTCTCCCGGTTTCTTTATATATGGGAGAGATTTGTATAGTTGACAACATATATGCTCTGGTTGACTCTGGGGCAGCTGAAAATTTTATAGACTCTGGCTTTATAAAGAGAAACAACATTCCCATCAGAGAGAAGGAGATACCCTTGGCCGTTGAGGCCATAGATGGTAGACCATTAAGTTCTCCAGTTGTTACTCATGAGACTGAACCACTACACATGTACACAGGGGTTTTACACTACGAAACCATTCGATTCCAGGTTATCACCTCTCCCTCTTCACAGTTAGTATTAGGGTATCCATGGTTACGTGCTCACAATCCCATTTTTGACTGGGAGACAGGGCAAATAAAATCATGGAGTAAGGCCTGCCACGAGTCTTGTACGTTGGAAGTCACACCTTTGAATTCTATTGAGGTACCTACCAGTCCTCCTTTGTCTATGGTTATACCCCCTCAGTATTTATCTCTAAAGACTGTTTTCGATAAAAGGGAGGCTGAGAAATTACCGCCTCACAGACCCTATGATTGCGCTATTGACTTGTTGCCTGGCACTATACCTCCAAAGGGCAGGGTGTACCCCTTATCGGTTCAAGAAAACCGTGTTATGGAGGAGTACATCAAGGAATCATTAGAAAAAGGGTTTATTAGGAGATCCTCTTCTCCAGCTGGAGCAGGGTTCTTCTTTGTATCGAAGAAAGAAGGTGATTTAAGACCGTGTATAGATTATAGAGGTCTAAACAAAATCACTATCAAAAATGCATACCCTATACCTTTGATTACAGAATTATTTGACAGGCTGAAACATGCCACTGTGTTCACTAAATTAGACCTTAGGAATGCATACAATTTGATACGTATAAAGGAAAATCACGAATGGAAGACTGCATTCAACACTAGATCCGGTCATTACAAATACACTGTTATGCCATTTGGGCTTTGCAATGCCCCAGCAGTATTCCAAGAATTTATTAATGATGTATTGAGAGATTTTATTCACACATTTGTTATCGTATACTTGGACGACATTTTAATATATTCTGCAGATATACACACTCATCACAGACATGTTACGACAGTTTTGAAGACCCTTCTTGCTAATGGTCTTTATTGCAAGCTAGAAAAATGTCTGTTTGACCAAACCGAAGTCCAGTTCTTGGGGTATTTGATTTCCGCTAAAGGTTTTCGTATGGATCCCCAGAAGCTAGCTGCTGTAATAGAATGGCCTCTACCGCAAGGTCTGAAAGCTATTCAGCGTTTTCTTGGGTTCTCCAATTATTATAGACGTTTTATCAAAGGTTTCTCGTCCATTGTAGCACCTATCACTCGTATGACTAAAAAGGATGGCAATACTCGTGTTTGGTCTACCGAGGCACTTCAGGCTTTTGAATTTCTTAAAACTACGTTCGCCTCTGCACCTATTTTACAGCATCCTGTCCCCTCACTGCCCTATATTCTTGAAGTTGATGCTTCGGATATTGGGGTAGGTGCTGTCTTGTCCCAAAGAGAGTCGCCTGAGAAGCCATTGCATCCATGCGGCTTCTTTTCTAAACAAATGTCCAAAGCAGAGAAAAATTATGATGTGGGTAATCGCGAACTCCTTGCTATTATTTTAGCACTTAAAGAGTGGAGACATTTGTTAGAAGGAACTAAGGATCCTATCCTCATTTTTACGGATCACAAGAACCTATCCTACCTTAGCGAAGCCAAAAGATTGTCTTCCAGGCAGGCTAGGTGGTCACTATTTTTGTCCCGTTTCAATTTTATTATCACCTATAGGCCAGGTGATCGCAACACTAAAGCAGACGCTCTGTCCAGACAGTTCGAAACTACTGACAAACAGGAGATTGATGTTACTCCTGTCATTCCCCCAGACAGGATAATAGCTACTACTATTTTGTCTATTTCCTCGTCCCTCTTGCAGACCATACAAGCGAAACAAAGCATGGCACCTAGCGAGAGGCCTAATGATAAACTGTTCGTTGATGTTCCTGAGAGACGGGATATTATGTCATTATATCATGATACTAAGACCGCTGGACATCCTGGTATTTCCAAAACGGTGTCAGCTGTTTCTCGGTATTTTTGGTGGGATTCCTTACGAAAGGATGTCACCGACTATATAAGTGCTTGTACTACTTGTGCCTGTATGAAATCCTCCCGTAGAGTTCCTTGTGGGCTGTTGCATCCGTTACCCGTTCCCGAGAGACCTTGGTCTAACCTGTCCATGGATTTTATTGTTGAATTACCCCCTTCAAATGGTAACACAGTAATCCTGATGATAGTGGATCGGTTCTCCAAAATGGCTCACTTCGTGTCTCTTCGCAAGTTGCCCACATCTAAGGAACTGGCTCATATCTTCGCTAGAGAAGTATTTCGATTACATGGGATTCCCGTATCTATTGTATCCGATAGGGGTAGCCAATTTATTTCCAGGTTCTGGAGGGCCTTTTGTTCAGAAATGGGTATTTCTCTCTCATTTTCTTCCGCTTATCATCCCCAGTCTAATGGGGCTGCTGAACGTGCCAACCAGTCTCTGGAGCAATACCTCCGTTGTTTTGTGTCTCACCATCAGGACAATTGGTCTGACCTGCTTCCTTGGGCTGAATTTGCTCGGAATAACGCCACTCATGATTCTTCCGGCAAGAGCCCTTTTTACGTTGTCTATGGCCAGCATCCCGTTGTTCTTCCGGCTGCATTCTCCTCACAGGGCATGCCAGTTCTGGATGAGCATTTGGCTGGTTTGCGTAATACTTGGGAGCAGGTTCAGCGTTCTTTGGTGGACTCTGCTACTCGCCAGAAGGCTCAGGCTGACAAGCATCGCAGAGCAGCTCCGTCCTATGTTGTGGGGGACAGGGTTTTGCTTTCCACGCGGAATATTCGTCTCCGGGTGCCTTCTATGAAATTGGCTCCCCGCTTCATTGGACCTTATCGTATTATACATAAGGTTAATCCTGTTTCTTATGCCTTAGGCCTGCCTAAGAATCTACGTATTCCTAATGTTTTTCACACCTCATTGTTGAAACCTTTCGTACGCAACCGCTATACCCGGCATACTCCTCCTCCCCCTCCTATCTCGGTGGAGGGTCATGAGGAGTTTGAAGTGTCTGCTGTTCTTGACTCTCGTTTCCTTAGGGGTCGACTTCAGTACTTGGTACATTGGAAGGGTTATGGGCCTGAGGAGCACAGTTGGATTTCGGCCGATGCTGTCCATGCTCCCCGTCTTGTGCGCTCTTTCCATTCTCGTTTTCCTGCCAGGCCTGGTCCTACCCGCCCGGGGGGCGTGTCCTCAGGGGGGGGTACTGTAGCGTTACTTACCTTAACCGGGGGCCGGTCGCGGTCCTCTCTTCAAGCCGCGCGCGGTCCTGCGGCTGCACGAGCCGCGCGCGGCTCATCCAACTACTTCGGATGGAGGGCGGGCAGTGACCGCGTGAGGCGGTCACGTGTCCCGCCTGAAACTAAGAGCGCGCCGCGAGTCTCGGGCGCGCTCTTAAAGGGACAGTGGGTGCCTAAATTGGAAAAGGCATCCCATTGGTCCCTGTCATGCCACACTCCCCATACACTTACCTTTTGGGGGCGTGGATATGACAGGGACCAATCAAATTAGATGTTTAGGTATTTATACTCACCTTCTTCCCTTTGTTCCTTGCCCTATCGTGGTTTCTGTTTCAGTTCCCTTTAGCGCTTGTAGTGTTCAGTTGTGTTTTCTCGTATTGACTTTGGCTTCGTATTCTGACTTCGTTTTCGCTTTATCCTTATCTGTACTGTTTGCCGGCTTGCTGTTTTCCGTGTACCAGACCCCGGCTTGTCCTAGTTTACGCTGTCTCTCTGTGCCCTTGACCTCGGTTTGTTCCTGGCTCTGTCTTCTCTCATATACGTCAAGTCCGGCCATTCTAAGGTCCGGTAGACGTATCTCTCCTCTGTATTTGCCTCTGTTTAGCTGGATCCTGCGTGTAGGGGTATATTCTCGTTACACAAACACCCTGACAGACAAACTCACACACATACTAAGACACACACAGAAACCCTGACAGACAAACTCACACACATACTAAGACACACACACAAATACTGACACACACACATGCAAAGTTTACATTTATAAAGCCACCCTCCAGCCCTACCTTATGGGTTCCCTGGGGTCCAGCGGCAGGCTGAGGTCGTTGGGAGTGTGAGGCTCCTGCACTCCAGCTCCCTCCTGACGGCCTCCTCCTCCTTCCTCCCGCGCGGCTTCGTTCTATCTGGGAGGAAGTGACTCACGGCAGTCACTTCCTCCCAGCCTTCTGCAGTAAAACGAGGGGGCCAAAGTGCCAACCAGGGCCTCTTCGTGTGTGGGCTCCCGGTGCAGCCGCAGCACCGGCGGGCCCAGGGGGCAAATAAATGTATTTATTTTTGCGGACAGCGGGGCCCACGGGGTAGCTGCTTTGGGCCCCCCCAGGAGTAAGTGGGCCCGGGGCAGCTGCCCCGTTTGCTCGCTTTAAAGACGGCCGTGCATGTAGACACACACACACACACACATACAGACATACATAGCTAATTTTTCTTACTTTTTTTTTGCAGGAGGGTGACTGGGGCTGATGGGAGTCGGCGTGGCTCTTCCGTCCTCACAGCCTGTCTCTTTCCCCTCCCGCGCGGAGCTAGCTGGGAGAAAGTGACCGGCCGTCACTTCTTCCCAGCACTACTTGCGGCTGCGATTTTTTAAAGGGGCCCGTCGCGCTATTTCACTGCCGCAGCGCTGACTGGGCCCCTGAAGATATAGGCCCCATCAAGTGGCCCTAAATGCTTGGGCCATCCGCCGGGCCCGTGACAACCATCATGGTTGGCACCCCCTGATGGCGGCCCTGATAATGGGAGTTAGAGTTTTAACAAAAGCATAGAAACTGATCGTGTACTGGCAAACTCTCTCCCCTCTTTTATTAGGGCTTTATTCACTAAGGTGGGAGATGTGGAGAATTGGTCAGTAAATTGCAAATCTGTGATTACATTGGAAAAAAATTGAACATGTCAAGAATCAAGGGAATTGCTCACAGATATTTGAAAATGTACACTAAAAATTAGGCTTTTGTTCCTGGGAAATCATCGCCGTACAGAAATGTCCCAAATGTTTCAATTAAAGAATCTCTAAAAATCCAATGTATTACACTGCACATTCACTGCTCTAAAAAAAGCTTTTTTTTTTATATAAAAAGATTGTTGGGAGTAAATGTGAAATATAAATAAAATGGAACCTTAAGATTAGCTTATTACTTACATTTATGTTTCGAAAGGATTGCTTAATTAATAAAAAAAAATGAAATCTCTCAAGATATCTCGATTTAACGAGTTTCCTGTGTAGTCGAGAATGCTTTAATGAACATCATAACATGCGGCTTGGCTTATATCTATATAAACAGGAAAGCCGACATTTTGTCTATTTAAAAAAAAAAAGAAAAAAAAAAGAAAAAAAAAGAAAGAAAATAATTTTATTCTATAGCTAAAAAAAAGCAGCTAAATTAAGATAAAATTACATACCTTTCTTTGGGATTTTCTCCATCCATCCTCTGAAGACTCTCCGCAGTGTGAAGGAGTATTTCCTGTCTCTCTGCATGTTGCAGAGGAGCGGATTCATTATGGCATACTGTCCTGGTGTAGTAGACAATAATGCTCTATAAGACCAGTGAATAGTGATGTCCCGAACGGTTCGCCGCGGACGGCGAACATATGCGGTAAACTTTGACCCTGTACCTCACAGTCAGCAGACACATTCCAGCCAATCAGCAGCAGACCCTCCCTCCCAGACCCTCCCACCTCCTGGACAGCTCACTAAGAATGCAGCTTCACAATGGATGTAAAATGGATGCTGTCCAGGAGGTGGGAGGGTCTGGGAGGGAGGGTCTGCTGCTGATAGGCTGGAATGTGTCTGCTGACTGTGAGGTACAGGGTCAAAGTTTACTCAATGATGAGTCCGCGGCGAACCGTTCGGAACATCACTACCAGTGATTGTCTGTGAGTGCACAGAAGGAGGACAGTAAGGGCCAGTTACACAGCGTATGTAATGGCTCAGTAGACTTGTCTATTACTGATACCTACATCAACACAAAAAAAAATTTAAAATTTTTATCATGAACCATTTAGAAAATAAATTGTCAAAATATACTGAATGTATTTTTTCCTGCATGTGCTTTGGCGGTATATGAAAAAAAGCTTCCAAAAGCTGCAGACCTGCTGTCAGCAGCCTCTGCAAGCCTTCCCCTTTCAGTCTAGTTTTCATTTCAGTCGGTTTCCCCTTTCAGTCTATTTCCCCTTTCAGTCTATTTGTAACAGTTCACCAGGGGACTTATGTAACAGTTTACCAGGAGTTGGAGCCCAGTTGCAGGAGATGGCACAAGGACGAGGCAAAAACCAAAAACACAGTACAGATAAAGGGGTAATCCAAAGGCAAGGTCAGACGAGAAACAGAAGTCAGGGCTGGCAGCGGAGTATCGTAGTCAGTAAAGCAGGCCAGAGTCCAGGAAATCAGTCAGTAGCGAAGCAGAGATCCGTCAGGAAACACCAAACAGGCACAATGACCAGATACGAGGTCTCAGGCAGGGCTGGCTTTTACAGCCTGCCAATTAGGTGCAGCTGACCCTAATTGGAAAAGGGCTGCAGGTTGATCAGTGCTGCTTAATCCAGGCAAAGGGTCAGGAAGCAGAAAAATGCAAACAGAGACTAAAGCCCCCTGGCGGACAGCACAGCAGAGAACCTGCCTGGGGTGCCGGAGCTGTGAGTTCAATCCCAGCCAGGTCTCCTAAATGGGCAGCCATGTCTTGTTGTCAGCAGGGCTTGGGCTGTGCCATGACATTATTTCTTCTTGCAGCCTGTGCCAGAGAATAATCTGAGGCTGAGTAATGGGAAGTAGCTGGTAAGGTAGGCACACTCTAGCTTAGTGAAACTGCTCCTTCCGCTATCTATGTGGAGCTAATGGTGGCAGAAGAAAGTCTCCCTGCACCTAGTTATAAAACTGTCATTTTTAGAAACTGCATAAAAAGAAATGACAGACTCCAGACAAGCAAAAGTACTTTAAATGGTCTATTCTTTTAATAATACTTTTTTATTAAGACTGTATGAATTCAGATGAATGCAGTATTACATAATTCACATTATCGGAAGCTATTTAGAGCATGATTAGGGTGTGTGGGCCTGAAGGGGGCAGTGATGTGACCTGCGTCACTGGTGCTGCGCAAAGAGGCAGACCTACTTGGAAAGGTGGCCGACATAGGAATAGACAAATATCAAAAAACATGAAGGAAACAAAAATCGAATCAGTTCCAAACTGTCTGGATAGTTCCGACTACATACCGTAGTTTGTTTTTAATTTAAACAAATAAAAAAAAAATGTGAATTTTTTTAAAATTTATTTTAAAAAAATAAAAAAAAGACAGAAAAGGTTGTTTGGCACAAAATGAAAGTTTGTAAAGAGCAAATAACTTGCTTTGCTCTTTGAAAAGTCATTACGGAGGTAAGAACAGTGCGATGGGATTCTAGAGAGTTTCTTCCTCCGGGGGGATCCCAATCCAGATAAATTAAATCAGCAGTGAGGTCCTCTCTGTATGGATCTAGTAATGCATCCTTTACCAGAGGAAAATGATTGTCTGGATTCAGTTAGAAAGAGAGAATTTATTTTGCTTTGCTGTGACTCAGCCTGTCACATCAGTAGTGATAAAAGTAAACATTGTTATTGGATTGTGATTTAATAGATCGGAATCTGCAGAACATAGATTGAGGGAAACACAGAGAGAATGAACCATATTTAATCGCGTGCTCTAAGGAATGGTAAATATTGTACAACGCTATGGAACCTGATGGCGCTATATAAATAATAAAATAATAATATGTGTAACGCTGATGGAACCTGGATTTTTTTACCGTTCAGTGTAGGAGGGAAAATTGAGATAAAAGACTGGATTCTCAATCAGCCATTCAGAATATAGATCACATTCAGTTCAACAGCCATCCGTTAGCAAAAAGGAACAAACAGGTTGATGGATAAATATTCACATAATTCTCCACCAGTTCTTGTCTGGATATTCGATGAAGAACAGTCCTACATCAGATCAAATGCCCATGTTTTGCACAACTCATCTTTAAAATACCTTCTGAACTCCAGAGATATTTTAATTTAGGGCAAGTATAATTTCAAATTATAATGAAGAATATAATACAGAATCACGTAAGGTTTTTATATCATATTTTTGGGAGCAGATTGTATGAAATTATAATGAAGAATATATCATATACATATATATTCTTCATTATAATTTTATATATATATATATGCTTCATTATAATTTCATATACATTATTTTCTTCATTATAATTTCATACAATCTGCTCTAAAATTTGGGATATAAAAATTTGATGTGATACAAAAATCGTGTTTTGACCAGAAAAGAGTCGTCTAAGGTTTTAATGTAACATTTAGAGAAAAAATATAGATTTTTCTTACATTATAGTTTTTATACATTAGTAATTTAAAATGGAACAGGTCCCCAGCATCAGCCATCACACAGCGTGAAAGCCCACAGCTCTTCGATTTAGGTCATCTCAGTTTAATAATTTGTGAAGCTCAGAAATAATTCATGGTGTCTTGGGATTTTACATGAAGACTATGGAAAATCTCCACCAGTACCCTGGCCGATCCTCTCTAACAAGAGACACTATGGGAATACACTAAAAACCGGCTAGAAAAATACGGACATGGCGCTTGGGGGACAATAAACAGAATACAAGTTATTGTACTACACTCAACTTTATTAACAGATCACAGATTGTAACAGTCACAGCTTTATTATCACAAATTGTAAGTCACAACTTTAGTAACAGATCACAGATTGTAACAGTCACAGCTTTATTAGCTGATCACAAATTGTAACAGTCACAGCTTTATTAGCTGATCACAAATTGTAACAGTCACAGCTTTATTGACAATAATTTGTAACAGTCACAGCTTTATTAACAGCTTACAAATTATAACAGTCACAGTTTAATTAACTAATTATCAATGATAACAGTCAAGCTTTATTAACAAATGTAAATCGTTCCAGCCATAGCTTTATTGACATATAACAACTTGTAACATTCACAACTTTATTAACAGATTATACATTTTAACAGTCACAGCTTTATTAACAAATTAATAAAAATGTTCACAGCCAACAGCCAGTGTATTAGAGATAATGAATCATCTCTATGGTTTCTCCCACTCGATATATCTACACCCCGATATCTAGAGTCTCTCGTAGTCTACAGAGCCTTCTGCATTCTCCCCAGTTTGCTTTTCCCATCAACGAAGATAGTAAGGTCCGACATACCAACACTGAAGCTGGGTAACAATTTTGACCCATGTGCCGTCCTGAAGTCAAAGTCAGCTCGATGGATATCTGGAGATTGTACGCGACTCAAAAGGTCCAGTTCAAAATACCAACAACTATCCTGCTTAAACCCAACAAAATATTTAATGAAGCTGTCATTGAAGACAATCACTGAAAGGAACCACCCAACCCCCTTCCTCGACCCCACATTATCCAACATCTATCTAATAACTCCTGGAAAACACTACCAACCAGATGAGATCAAAATCTTTAAACAGAGAGTTGTTGTTTTGTAATCAGTTCCAGCAATAACCAACTAAATCTGATCTCATCCCATGTTTTCTGATATAATTTGGGATAGTCTTGATTGTGCCCATAGGACATTTCCACTGCTTGCCAAACCCTTAATTCTATTGATCAATTCCATGGGTTTAAGTAATCAGTATTCAAATATTGTTTGGCAGTGGATGCTGGCTGGTGGGGCGGCCCCCCTGACAGTCTTTTCTGCAAAAAAAACCCCAAAACCAACAAATCTAATTTATTGAAATTGAGAGGACAACTGATAAGGGTGTGTTAGACAAAAACATGCACAATTCTATCTGCAGTTACCCTTCCCCATCACGGATGTCTAGAGATGCAGCTGGTTTTGAATAGATCATGGCATCTCATGGGTTAAGTGGGTAAAGCCCAACAAGTCAGGGGAAGCAGCGCCCACCACCTTTAACCATCACCATCTGCCACTGCTGTTTGGGATGAAATAACAGTTGTAGAGTGATATATATGGTTTTATAAAATGTGCGTTCTTTCATTTAAATAGTGAAAATAGCATTAGAGGACCAACACGTAATTACAATCATTCTAGTTGCTTTAATGACACTGACCAAGGTTGGAAAATCCAGAGATTGTTGATTTGCGCCATTGCCATTGTGACATCATAACATCTGGATATACTGTGTACTGTAGTCTTTGCTGCCGCACAGTGGGGGGGAGGGAGCGCAGGACTTATCTTTCTGCAACATCTGGATATGTTGGTTCTGTCGACCAGTGAACCTAGAACAGTTCTGGCACAATTGGGACATCCAATAAACCTTAGGAAATACATATTTTACAGAGCATGCTCTGTAGAGATTTCTCATCTGATCTGAGACATTGTCCATAAAAGGTTAAAATTAAGAGCAATTTCATTGATAGAGGATTAACTTGAGATAAAGTTACAATATGTTCTAACACTATGTTTTGTGAGTTTAATAATAGAGTGATTGTATCACCGTGTGTGTAATTTATTTTGTCATTTGTGGTATTTCTACCGAGGGCTCACTGCGAGAACAAGGCCGTGCGCTTCGAAATGATTCTGTTTTTTCTAATATGATTCCACCGGCTTTATTTTCATTTTGTGTAAGCGCACCTAACAAAATCCCTTGATTGAAGCCACTCCACTAATCACTTGTAATGTATCTGATATAGTATTTATTATGTATAATATATATTGGACAGCAAATGTTTTCCAAAAATCCAGTAATTACATGAACAGTGTTTGAAGATCTGATCTGGAGAAACAAGTCTAAATCAATAAATAAAGCACTGGTATGACAGTTTTACCATGTTCTGAAAGGTAGGAATGCTTCATGCTGTAGGACTTTGCATGAAAAGATCTCCAAGTTGTATAAGAATGAATTAATCATGGCAGGGACCCACATGGAAGAGGTATAATTTATTAATTGTATTTTTTTTTTTCATTGAAGCATTTGAATGCTACATATTGTATAGCCTCTCAGAACGAATTCCTTTCGAGTCTTACAAAAAATAAATGGTAATCTCCTAACTGGGTTGTTTTCGAAAAAGATGCTTTAAAATTTTGAACCAAAAAAATAATATTTATTGAAATTTGAAACAATCCTATTATAAGCAGAACTAAAGAACTTGGGAAAGAAATATTTAATCATTTTTGTGCCATGCCAAGTAAATCCCACGCCGTATATTTATGCAGTTTCAATAAGGATTTGTGTGAATTCGCTGGTAAGTGGTCATAGTAAAAAAAAAAAAGTATGGGGACCTTTCAGCAGCGCATGACTGCAGCATTTTGTATTTTGCACCTAATTAATAATGAAGAAATTAGCTTGTTAACCCTTGCAGGGTCTTATTGGAATAAGTAAATAACTAGACCCCACAGTCTTATAATGCAAGGTGTTAAATCTACTACAAAGATAACACTGGGAGTGACTTTCAGACTGCTATTTACAGAAGTTTATAAGATGCTGGATAGATGTTAATTTAATGGGATTTGTATGAGAGCAGCTCAGGGTATAAATATGACTTCAGGAAATAGAGATTCGGACTCAAACATGGATAAAATAAGCATGACAGGAGACTTAGCGAGGGTGCAGAGAGAGCTCTCAGGAGTTTTATTAGAAGAGACAGGAGGACTGGAAATCAATCGGGCAGGGTAACATAATGTCATTGGTTGCTCAGTGGTTTAAACTTCCAGAAATATTGTACTAATAAAGGAGTCAACTACCGTACTTATCAGTGGGGATAGAACCCAAAAACATGCAGATTTAACCCTATTAATACTAGTGTATTATCAACCATTCAGCCATTACATTCCAAGCGCCATAACCATTAGAATCTGCTGATTTGGTTACAAGGCCAGGAGAGCTCTGGTTCTCTCCCACAGTAAGTAGCTAAACAGTTTAAGAGTTGTTTGACAACTTACCTGGACCATCCCCGGGTCTAACAAATGGAATAATCTTTTGTTAAAATTCTCAATTTGGGGGGGCTAACCCCGGGGTGGTCTTAACTGGGTTCGCTGGAAGCTCCTGCAAGGAACAGCGCTTTTGGCTGAAAGATTGAGTTATGTTCTTTCAACCTATGAGTTGGCAGGGGCTTGTAGCTCTAGAGGAGGCTTGGTAGGTACAAGTCAAATCCCAGGTAAGTTGGCAAACCATTCTTAAACAGATTGACTACTTACTATATAAATACCGATAATATTAATAATAATAATACAACAAGGAAGGGAGTGCGGGGTCATCCAGGCACCATAACAACAAGAGCAAGCTGTAATTGTTACTGTGCATGGAGTGGTCATTGAAGGCTAACTTGTCACTAGAAAATTACGCAATGTATAGTTTACAACAGTGGTAGTCAACCTTTTTCTACCTACCGCCCACTAATGCATCTTTTTGGTTGAAAACATTTCCTTACCACCCACCAGTTTTCGCGCAAGTGCAGAATATTTTTTCAAAAGGAGGGTGTTTTAAAAAAAATAAATGTACGTACATTTATCTTTTTATTTCTACTTAATGCATGTTTATAATGTTTTTAACTTTATAAAGTTTAATGAGAAAACAATAAAGTAAATTGAAATTACCTTTACTAGTGATTAATAAGATCCTTGAGGTTGATGCTGAGAGACTAAATATTTGATATCTGGTTTGATTTTCGTAAGGAACAAACGAAGGTCTCCTCTTTCGGTGATATTCAGACGACTTCTCTGTTTGCGCATAATATGATTTCTCATCTGTGTGTCAGCTCCCCTCCTCTCCCTCCTCAATTCCCCTCCCCACCTCCCCTTTTTTTATTTTTTAACCTTCCTTATAGCAATGCCCAGTAGGAAGGCTGAGCTAGGTATCCCACTTACTATTACTTACTATAGCCCACTATAACAGACAGGCACACATACATACATACATACATACATACAGACAGACAGGCACACACACACATACAGACACACAGACAGGCACACATACAGACACACATACAAGACACATACATACAAACATACAAACAGACAGGCACACATATATACAGACACCCACAGAGACATGCATACAGACACACACGTACAAAGACACACACATAAGACATACATACAAAGACACATACACACATACAGACAGACACAAGACACACATACATACAAAGACACATACACAAACAAACACACACAAAATATTTTCCTACCTTTTAGGTGCAGGAGGGTGACTTTCCCTGGGGTCCAGTGGTGGCTCAGGTGGATGGGAGTCAGAGTTCCCACTCTGACTCCCTCCTCCTTCCTCCCGCGCGGTCTGTGTGTTAGCTGGGAGGAGTGACGTGCAGTCACTTCCTCCCAGCTCTGTGATGTAATCACAGGGGGCCCAGTCGCGCTGTTAAAGCGCCCAGCGCTGACCGGGCCCCTCCACATCCATCGGGTGGCCGTGACAGCATGGGCCACCCGATGGACCCCTCCATATGCGGCCGCCGGCTCGCACCCGCCCGCTCACCCAATCTCTCAAAATTAGAAAATCCCTACCGCCCACCTGGAATCCTGAAACGCCCACTAGTGGGCGGTAGGGACCAGGTTGATGATCCATGATTTACAATGTAGAGTCTGAGCAGGACTGGGGACAGCGTGGCACTGAGCAATGACAGCTTGGCCATTCTACAGAAACAGTAATTAATTCCACACAAAGACTGCGCCCGGGACACTAGGCGGCTGCTTAATGGGCTGCAGTTTCTAGACTGGACTATTTAATTCTGTGAGCACTGAGTCACAAACATTAATATATCTAGGCTTTTATAAAACGCCATCCATATAATAATTCTTCCCGTATGTTCCTTTTATCTCTGTCCCACCATCTAAAAATTTAATCGGTCCCACTGATAGTTGTATAGCACATTGCGTTTGGGTGTGAGCACAGAAAACATTAGCATCTAACTAGCATCCCGTGACGGTCTGTCTGAGAATAATCAGAATAAAGTCCCAGTGTGATGAAAAACCTTAACTGTAATCAGCCCACAAACAATGGCTAAACTGGGCACTGCAAGTGAGCCAAAAAAATTACAATGTCCTTGAATTGCACTTCACACCAAGCACAGCCCTAAGTGTGACCCATTCTCTCCGTTAGCCGATAGGCAGCCATGTTTCTATTTATACACATTTACCCTGAATTCAGCCAGGTCCTCGCCCCTGCTCCCCGCCATCGTGTTCTCAACCTTTCCTGACTTGTAACTCCGACGTACAGTGCTGAAATGTACATTCATTGCGTGCTGTCTGTGAAGGCAAACCTGACCTGTCATTTTCTCTTCTTGTAGGTTTTTAGCCGTCGACACACAAATATTTCCTTCAATTATTTTCCCCATTCCATTAAGAGATAGCCTTGTGCAAAAGGTTATCGCAATTACTGCAAGAAAAGCATCGCTCCAGAACACTCCTAATGGATAATGAAAAAAATAAAATACAATTCTAATAATTGTAAGAAAAAAAGTCGAGCCGGTTTACAAACTAAAATTGCCCCATCACAACGAGAAATCATAGCATTTAATAAACGTCGGAGCTCTTTATCTGGTTAAAAGAACACCAGTCGCTGGGAGTGGAGACTTGTGAACACGCTGAAGGCTTTATTCACTAACAGTGAATCGCGTGTACCGAAAGCTGGCAAGCCACATTCAGATTGAAATAGCTAAGCTGTGGGAAAAAAGGGATCAGTTATTTTGTTCTAACTTTTGCAGTTTGGGTTCCAATTCACTGTTTAGTATCTCCAAAATTAATGATTTTCAAATTTTAAGCCAAAACATATAACTGACAAGGCAGTGATACTTCTCATTTTAACCGCACTGGCCAGGGAACACTGCCTAGGTTTGACAAACAAAAACACACAGACACACAGGACAAACAACATGACAAATACTTATAACAATAATTACAATACACAGGAAGGAGGGAGTTTACCGGCAACTGGCCACATCCTAGACCCCCATATATCAAAACATCAGGGCCTTTTGCAACATTGTTTCTTGCTTTTTTATTGGCCGAGTCCAACCAAATTGCTCCTTCTCTATCTGACCAGAATATACTGATACCTCCTAACTAGGGGGCTCATTAGCTAAATCCCCCAGGCTTTAGCTGCATTAAATATTTTGCTTTGAACACCAATTTGCGCTGACTCATTTTCAAGTGAAGTGGCGGAATAATGAAATGATCGTTAGTTTGAGTAACCTCTTGGAACGGAATGGGTTAAACCTGTGTGTGTAACACTGTGAGTGTAAAGCTGTAACATTGTGAGCGTTTGCCGTACAGATAACTATTCATGTAATTTTTGTTCGTGAGGCTGTTTTGCAGGCAGAATCTGTGTAAAATCAATGGGAACATGTAGCGGATGGCATTGGGCTGTCCTCAAAGTTTGCTTTAAAAATTTATTTTGTTAGCGTGTGGAGTGCCGTTGGGGCACCACACGCATGTCTGTTCAACCCATATGCACCGCAAAAATAAAGAATTTAAATAAAAATGTATTTTGTGTGATTATTCCCCTGTATAGATGTATTTTATGTAGCATTCTTCTGATTGTTCGGTAGTTTTCAGTCCGTGTTCCATACGAATGAAAACTCCCGAACCATCAGACCACCCCAGAGAGAAGTGTGCACCTCGTTAGGGTTTCACACTCTGTAACCGCAAGCTTATTGACCATGCAATCGGTACTTTGTATACATATCTGGGTGGTCGCCGTTTGGCATACGAAGAAAATCTCAGCGGTGTTTGGTCGTCGAGTGTCTGGAACTCAAATCGGACACTCAATCACCCGAACACAGCTGAGACCTCCAGAGCTCCATAACTCCCGAACGGAGGGGCCAACCCTCCCACGGTATTAGGGAGCTATCTACTAAAAGGCTGAAACACCTAAATTGGTCTTTCAGCCAAATTTACTAATACTAAGTAAAGGTTACTTAGTATTAGTAAATTCTGTCCCTACTCGCTATACCGTGAGTAGGGGCATGTCTATTAAACAGTGAACCCTGTGTCCTCCCTAATGACCCCCGTGCCGCAGGGCTTTTAAACTGAAGGGGGACCTATTGCCCCCTCTGGCCCCACCCCTGAATGGCGGGTGGACCCTAAAGTAAAATAAGGGGGGGGGCCTATTGTCCGGCCCCCACCCTGAGCGGCTAGTGGGGACACTAAAGAAGAATAATGGGGGGGACCTACTGTCCTCCCCCTTGGCCCCAACCCCTGAACGGTGGGTAGGGGCCCTAAATTAGAATAAGGGGGGAACCTATTGTCCTCTCCTCTGGCCCCCAACCCTGAGCACTGGGTGGGGGCCCTAAATACCAATAAGGGGGGGACCTATTGTCCTCTCCCCTGGCCCCCACCCCTGAGCGGTGGGTACGGGCCCTAAATTAGAATAAGGGGGCAACCTATTGTCCTCCTCCCTGGCCCCCACCTGTGAGTGGTGGGTGGGGGCCCTAAATTAGGATAGGGGGGCCTATTGTCCTCCCCCCCGGTCCCACCCCTGAGTGGCGGGTGGGGGCCCTAAATAAAAATGTAAACCCCCCCAGGTGACTAGTCCCCAAACCCTTTAATTTGACTCATAACAACACTCTGATTGGTTGATTGAAAGGAACCAATCAGAGAGTTATGAGTTAAATTACACAGCGTGTGAAAATTCCAAAGAACTTTCCCACGCTGTGTAAAATGACACAGAGAACTCTGATTGGCTGGATTTCAAGCTAACCAATCAGAGTGCTGTGACAGGTAAATGTAGAGACTTACCTGTCAGTCTCTTCATTTACCCGTCAGAGCACTCTGATTGGATGGTTTAAACCAACCAACCAGAGTGCTGTGAGCCTTATTGCTGGGAAGATGGACTTTTTTTTCGTGCTCTGTTTTTTTTTTTTATTATGGATTTTTATTTGGCCTTTTTTGGGGATGAAAAAAGAAGAATGATATTTTTTTTATTTATTTTTTACAGGTACTTAGTTAATGGTCCCCTCTCATTATCTTTAGGGTGAGTGGGGTAGGTAGGGGTTAATTTTTTGGGGGAGGGGGGTGACTAGGCGTTTGGGGACCCCTAGTCACCTGGGGAGGTTAAATTATTATTTAGGGCCCCCACCCACCGCTCAGGGGTGGGGGCCAGGCGGGGAGGACAATAGGTCCCCCCTTTATTCTATATTAGGGCCCCCACCCACCCACAAACACAGCACCCCTCACACACACGAAGCACCCCCACAAACACAGCACCCCTCACAAACACAGAGCACCACTCACACACACACTCAGCACCCCTCACACACATAGAGCACCCATCACACACACACACTCAGAACCCCTCTTACACACACTCAGCCCTCTCTCTCACACACACACACCCACATATTGCACCCCTTCTTCACACACACACACTGCACCCCTAACAAACACACGCTGCATCCCTCACAAACACACACACACTGCACTCCTCACAAACACACACTGCACCCCTTATATACACTTTGTTCTGCTGCTTAGTGGATAACTCCCTGATTTGGCATCCTTATGTGGGAGTGCTACATTTAAGAATACGAAAATAGGGAGCTATCTACTAAACACAGCTCACTCACCAATAAGGAAACTTAAATATGGCAATCCCACATAAGGGCATCAAATTAGGGACTCATTTCAGAACCACTGAAATATTTGCAAATGATCAAGTTTCATCTGAAATTAATCGACTAATGCACAAAATATATTTTAGTTTGAATTAATTTGGACAAACCAAAAATATCCAACTTGCACAAGTCTATTAATTACTTTTTTTCTTAGCCAATCACACACTTTCTATTAAGCCTTTGTGTCTATGATTTCCCAATCTGTATAACTATCCTTCATATATACTAAACAAAGTATTTGAAACGACCACTTTTTCTTACTTTTCAGAAATACCCTCTGGGACACGATGTTTAATGTCTGGATAAACTTGTTGATACATGTCTTGGCGTTGTTTTATCGTTTCTGTGTGTTTTATGCTGTGAATGACAGCAACATGATTTGCTGTTTGGCTACTTACCTTAAAAAATGTACGCAACAAACTAACCATGAATTGTGCGTGTTTTTATATAGAAAATATCCGAACACAGAATGTTTATACCAGCAGCAGAAAGCAAATGGAAAGATTAACGGGACATTTTGTTTCCTCCAGCAGTAAAACTATTTAGTGAAATAGAAATCTTTGCAAATTGGCTCTGACTAAGCTGATATTTTTTTTATAATCTTCCACTCTGAATTTTACAAGTAGCACTGGTAGATGGGTGAAGGTTCCCTGGGGAGATCCTGGATTGGGCTGCCTGGTTGGAGGACAAGGAACTCAGGCACAGAGATTCTGGTACCACATGTCAAGTCATTAGCCAGCCGTCACTTGGAGAGCAGAGCATTTATCTGCCCGAGAAAGGGGGTCACAGCCTTAGAATTAACAATCTCCAATGTAATAATCTATGCAACATGAAGAGACGTGATTAACAGCCTTGTTACAAGTCACGCCAGTGTGAACATAATGTGATACAATATGTCAGACCCTACGTACGTATCTCTTGATGTACGAGCAGGACTCTCTAATTGGGAAGCAGTGTGGAAGCCATTCTGACTAGGACTTGGCGCAGGGGGATACCGTCAATAATTAATGTAAGGTAATAAATAGAAGCCGAGCCTATTACTTCAGTTAAATTTCAGCCTATAAAGCAAAGGAAAGAGCTGCAAGCGGGCTGACTTGACCGGATTTTGGCTAATGTCACCTACAAGTCACTTTGTTCCACAGCATCAATTTTATTGGTAACCTCAGAAATCTGTGATTTTTGTGACATTTCTGTGACATCGTAAGCCGTATCTGTCCCCGTATCTAGCATGACTCACAATCATTGGCATTGCCGGAGTTTTATTCTCTAGGACAGAGATGGGTAACTACAGTAGAACAGATATTTTTGATCTACTGTTCCCAGGATGCCCACTCAGCAGACGGGCTTCCTAGGACTGACATTTACAAACATCTGATTCAAAGACGAAGAGCCATCACTGCGCCAAATGAGGAACCTTTCATCACTGCGTGTCGAGCAGCCACACTAATGAAACGCTTGAATAATTATGAAAATAATTAAAATTAGAGATTATGGTCATTTTACTTATTTATTGAACTAAATTAACAAAATTGTGGGAGAGATGGCTCGGTTACTTAGTGAAGCAGCTGCAGCACTTTTACACCGTCTAAAAAAAAACTTGTAAATGAGTGAACACCATCACTTTACAAGTATTTTAATTCCCTCCTTTTACTGATCCATACAGTAACATATTTTATTACTTTTTCTTTTTGTTTTGTTTTTTTGACAATCTTTATTTTGAAATTTTGTAATATAATAGTTTGGACAGGGGTAAGCATGTCACAGCCAGGTACAAATGAGTATAACATTTTCATCTTGCATTTCCGTTTAGTGTACAGTGGCAAACATCACTACTCTTTCGGGTATTGGTGTGTTCGGGAGTTCTAGTACACAACATATCTGCAGCAGTAACATCAATAAACCTAACTTGGGTTTTGGGGTGTGTTATCATGGTTTTTTAACCCTTTGCTTGTTGATTCCCGGAGATCTGTGCTGTAGCCATTACAAAAAAGAAAAATGTGCATGTACCAGTTTCTATTCCTGTCCCAATCAAGCTATATAATTAGAATAATTGTTTTACCTTGTGTTTTATTCATTTCAGAATGTGGCAAGGTGAATAAAATCTGTATTTACTTATGTTTCCTAACTACGCAGTTATGTTATCCTGCTCCGTTCCACACAGACAGACAGACAGACAGACAGACATCGACTTGACCCTTTCTTGGTACTGGTACAAGTTGCCGGTTATCTCATGCCTAGTCCCTCACTTTGTTCCGATAAAATAAAAATATACTAATAATAAACATCAGATATCCATGAAAAAGTAAACGCGTTTCGTATGTGCAGCCAAACAGAATAAATCATCATTTTATTCCCAGCTGTGAATGGTGAAAATTAAACTGTTGGCTTCAGCCGCCCCTATTTCTGTTCTATTTGCCCATTCATGTCGGAATATTTATAATAAGATTTTCTGATACTTCCTGCTGTGCCCAAAATGACTCATTAAGAGACAGATGAATCTGTTGCTTGAGATGAGATGGAAACACATTTCCATTGAGATATTACTTAGCATTGTCTCTGAGATTGAAACATGTGATGACAGGCGAAGCCTTGCAGTAATCTAGAACGTCATGCTAAATGATTTGCTTGGATTCTCTTTCATATTCTTGGACAGGGCTTCATAAATGTAGAGTGTGTGGTCAATTTGCAATGAAAGGTAATCTGTGTATGTATGGCTGACCATGCAATCGGAAAGGCTTCTTTAGATTTAACACAAAGTTGCTTTAATGTACTTAATGGAAGTCCAGACTCATGGTCCAGAACATGGAGGTGAATGTCACATTTATGGGCAAAGCAGCCAAATTGG